CTCCCTAATAGAAACTATTATTCTCATCTTCAAAACAGGAGAACTGAAGCACAAAGAGGTTAAATAAATTAGAGTCACACTACCAGCTAATGGCTTCAGACTTTACACTCTTAGACACCAGACTCACCCTCTTCTAGTAAGCTCATAATATGTTCAAATCCTCCATGCCCCGAAGATAGTTGGAATGAGACGATGATATAAAGCAAATGAAAACACTTCATAAAACACCAAGATTTAACCATGATTGTGATGAGGCTCTGGTTTGTATCTTCTTTTAAAAGAGTACACATAACGCTCCCCAAATACACACAACTGGCGGGAATACATATAGCTCCTCAAATGCTATAGCAGTATTGCCTAGAAATGGTAGAGCTAGCTGGTACCTGAGCACTCATGAGGGCGTGGAGCATGCCATGCTCTGTGCTGGATCTTGCCTAACAAAACAGTGACTTCCACTCTAATAGGGAAAAAGAGGGACTAAGAAATAAAAAAAAATTCCAAGGGTGTGCTAAATACAGTGCTGGAGGGAAGCACAGAGGTACCCCGGAGATCCCCAGGGAGTGGGGGAAAGCTAGCTAGAGAAGAGGGGAAGACAACTATCTGGCCACAAGGAGTAAAACAGGCAAAGGCACACCATACTCACATCCACCAGTGGTTGGCAACGAATATGAATTTAAACAGAGAAATGGAAGCGTGACAAGGGCAGGTGAGTCAGGCAATGTGTCTCAGCCAGTCCAGCCAGAAACTAAGCAATCATCTCCCCCACTTTGATGGCAGAATAGACATTAAGACTCTCTTTTCCCTTCAGAGAGACTGTTTTTGCAGGCAACCAGTGTAGCAGAGCAATGCAGCAGATAGATCATAGTCGCCGAGTGGTGTTTGTTTGTCAGGAAGAGATAAATAATGTATCACACCTGTTTTCCACTTGATACCTTTAATCTGAGGAACAACAGAGCCTTTCTGTGTTCCTGCACCACAGAAGTCAAGCTGCCTACTTCTACTTCAGAGCCCTGTGGAATCTGTGGTACCCACGCTGAGGCAGGAGGACAGCTCTCACACCTGTACCATGCCAAACAGGAAAGCTTACAGTAGGCTTGGCAGCCAGAGACATATTCTTTGAGATCCTGGACTGCCAAGCAGGCCTTCTTTAAATCATCCCTTCTTGACACCAGGCTAGAGCAAGATGCAACCCTGAGGGCAATTTCCTCCTCACTCTAGAGTTTATGTCAGACTTTCTGAGTACTGTCTTATCACTGGGAACTTGAGCCATCCACATAGTATCTCTCTGCTCTCTATAGTCTACATTTTTTTCCTGAGTGCTTCTTGATCTGCTTGCATCTAGAATCCCCTTTCTAACCCCTGAGGAAGACTGTTCAGGCCTGCCACACCTTATCAAAGCCCTCCTCTATGTCTGTTTACCTGTTTTCCCACACTGTCATTGATTCCCTTTACTCCAAAGATACCTTGTGTGTACTGAAATAGTGTTATATGCTTATCAAAGTTGCCTCAAATGTTTTTTTGAAGCATTATGGTGTGATTGTAACATTTCAGAATCTCAGCATGAGAAGACCTCAGGTCTTCCACTCTTCTTGCCTCCTTGCTGACCTCTGATAGGCAGGCAGCCAGCCCTTCATTGGTCCTCTCCATGAGGAGAGTTCTCTGCCCTCTGAGGCAGCTCATCTCTGCTTGGCTTCTGATCAGCATGATGTATCTCTCTTTGGGAGCCACCTCTCTGAAGTCTCTGTTTCTCTGATGCAAGTTCTTAGTCCTATAGCCACACACTTAAAATCCCCCAGGGTCCCTCTCACTCAGCACAAGCCCCAGAGAGTTGTCTGGTAGTGTTATCATTCAACTGAGGTGAGTTCTCCATGCTTTCAGATAAACATTCTCTGTTACAAAGGTTACGGCTTTGAATGTGGCTCAGATGGTTAAAACGTTTGCTACAGAAGCAAGAGAACTGGAGCTCAGAACCCAAGTAAATGCTACAAGCATGATGGCCTGCCTGTAATTCCAACATGGGAAGGGAGAGATGAAGGTTTTGTCATATTTAGTAGTTTGCTTCCTATTGCCATGATAACGATGATCAAAATCAACCTGACTTACATGCTTCTCCATCACTGTCCATAGGGAAGGAACTCAGGGAAAGAATCTGGAGGCAGGAACTGAAGCAGAGCCTGTGGAGGGATAACCCTCACTGGCTTTCTTACCATTGCTTACTGGGTTGAATTCTTACTTAACCCAGGAACACCTTCCCCATGGTGGCACCACTCAAAGTGTGCTGAGCCCTCCCACACCAGTCATTAATCAAGGAAACACTGCAGACATGACTGTAGGCAATCTGATGGCAGCGTCAGCTCAACTGAGGTTCCTTTTCCTAGCCAGGCATGGTGGCACATGCCTTTGATCCCAGCACTCGGAGTCTAGATCTCTCTAACCTGGGAGGGGAGCATGGACTTACCTCACCTATTTTTCTGGTTATCATTTTCACCTGGCTTCATCACCCTGATAAACTGGGAGTAACCCAGAGCTTTAGGCCTTGTCTGCTCAGCTCTCTGCTTTCCTCATAGTGTGCTTGTATGGTTGATATTTTGTCCCCAGGATAAACTGTCACAAGTTTCCCAAGTGAGTCTCATTTTTCTCAGACTGTGAATCCATTCAATCTCCTGAAGGGTTTCCGAATCCTAATTATTAACCAGAAAGCCCCACTCTGCCCTGCCCCAGCTTTCCCAGTTGTTATTCTAAGTAGACGGGATGAGGTTGACTACTGTTTCCATATGTAAGGCCTCAGCAGTCGCTGACTGAGATGATATGTACCACAGGGCACCAGAGTAAACTACCAAATGGAACCATCCTGTTCCAGACTCACCACCTGAGAATCATCTGTGGTCTCTGCCTTTTGAAAACAAAGATTTCTACTTTTTCATAAATATAGACTCAGAATGAAAGGAGATGCGGCCCAGGAGTCTACCTTTTAATCCACAGTTGGGTGTGGTGAGGTGATATGAGTTCATAAGCTCAGAAGTCAAACACTTCAAGCAAATTTGAATTCAATCTACCCCAAGTCAAGGCCTCCTGTGGAACATGATCTGGTGGGATGGATGTAGAACATTGTCAGAGGGTTCTATTGATCTGGCCACCTGCCTAGGCCACACTGGTTCTCCACAGTGGCTCTACAGCTTACCCTGTTCTTTCCACTATACCTCCCTACCCCTTTACACCCATCTCTCTGGATCCGTGTTCTTTCTTCCAATATTTAGTTTTAGCTCCTGCATTTGGATGCAGGTTTGAGCTCCTCTGTGACACCCAGCTCATTGTCCTTGATGTCTCAGTGGGCTCTGTGTGGCTATCTCTGTCGGCAGTATCTCTCACAGCTGCTGTTGAGACCATTCTCATCAGCTCTGCTGCATTCCAACAAGAAACTCTCTGATATAGATTTGCTTCAGCTGTTATATGCGTCACACACACTAGCCTTATAAGGACCCGTTAATCAGAGTCACATCTGGCGCACAAGAGTTTTAACATAAGATAGCTACATTGCCAGCATATGATGTGCCAGGATGGTACCCAGCAGGTGCCTACTACATTTTTCAGGGGACAGGATGTTTTAGTTTGATACAATAACTGGGGATGGTGAAGATGCTGAAGGCTTCTGAGCCAGTCATTCATTCATGTGAATCTCAGCTTCCCTGACTTCAGCTGCATGGCCTCAGGTGAGACAATTAACCTCTATGAACCATCCCCATCTTGACTATAAATTAGACGTGTGTGCTAGGTGTCTGGAAGTTCTTTAGCTCTCAAATTTTATAATTCTCTGAGTCCTGGTCCTCTTCTTACTGGCTGGTATCTTATTTTGGGGCCCTCAGAAAGCAAAGCCACCGTAGACAAGTGTCATGGCTCAAACCAACCTAGAACTGTCTTCTGCAAGCACTTTCTGGCACTGGGTCTGAAGCTCATTAAAGAGCATAGTTGCTTTGCAGCGCTCTGCAGCCCAGATAGATCAGGCAGTGCTTTGGATGATTCCATAGCACTCTTCCGTTCACTGAAGAATTCACTCTGGCTTCTGCCTGTGAATTTTTCTCATCCACTTTTGTTTATCAACATTGAAGCATTTTTAAAAATCAAAACAATTAAATACGCTCAATCTTCCTCAATTAGTTATGCACTAAAAATTGAAAGTGCTTCTGTGGTAATAGCAGAAGTCCGTTATGTGGTGCTAAGTGGGCTACTCAGAGCATCTCTTCCTCCAGGTACTTACTCCTATCTCCAGAGGTGTACACAAATAGATATTTCTAGTGTCTCAGAGGACTTCCGCTGATACATGCTTGGGGAAGAACAACCGCCTTCTTTTCCACAAATGAGAAACTGAGGCCAGTGGGATCATGGCCTTTTGCAGAGTTCCCAGGCGTCAAAGGTTGGGATGTGAAGTTGTAAGCTTCCTTCCATTCCCTTCCCATGGGACCACAGCATTCATACACTGAATGTCTTTCATTTATCAGCCATTTCTTCTGGAAAAAAAGAGACTGAACTTCTGATTAAAAAGAACAGTGACAAAGATGACCAGTGATACACAACTAAAGGGAGTGACAAATATTCTGTTCCAAAAACACATCATGAAGTAAATGCTATCTGAACAGGAGCTTGGATAGACTTCAGAAACAGTGAAGGGAGGGAAGATGGCATTTACACTGGAGGATATCCTGTGCAAAAATGGGGTGAAGGCCAGGGCTGAATGGAGATGGATGAACTAGAACCCTTGCTTCAAGGGGACTCATAGGAGAATGGCAAAGGAAAACTAAGGACGATTTAGGGCCACTTGTGCCCATCCCCACTCCCCAATTTCCACAGGTGTTTGGATGGCCATTCACAGGAGAGAAAAGTGACGATTTCAAAGAGCCCTCTCTGTCTCCAAAGTCCAAGTAAGCTTTTCCTAGCCTGAGCTGGTTGCATCCTAGCAGCTGTCCTTCTAATCCCAGTACTTTGTTTCTGTCTTCCTGCTACAGGTGTTACCGTGGAAGAAGTCAAAAAATGCATTGGAGGTGGCATTGGCCTGAAGTTTGAGGATAACTTAAATGTCAAAGGAGATTTATCAGGAGGGTCTTGTGACGAGTCTGGAGATGGCAACATTGGCAAGTGTTTATCAGTGGGTCTTCCCAAGAGTGAAGCCAGGCTTTCCTTGAAACACATCATTCATGCAATGATCCTCTTCCTCCAGCTGATTCCATTTCAAGTTCCCCCAAGCCATGACTTACGTATAATGTCTCTGTTTTGGGTCTACCTGCCTACACTAAAGTCATCTTCAAAACATTCAGCAGTCTAAGGATGCTTCTTAGATTCCAAGAGCTAGACAAGTATCCCAGCAAGACATAGGGTGAAACAGGAACTGTGGATAGCATCTCTTGTCATCTCATCAGGAAACAGTGCAGAGGAAGTAGGCAAGCCTATCGGGAGAAGTTATGAGTCTCATGTCCAAGTTCAAGGAATAATGACCAGTGAAAGGATGTACAAGGATAGTCAATATTTCTTGAACATATCATTGTGGATGTTCATTCATTCATTCATTCATTCATTCATTCATTCATTCAGTCAGTCAGTCCACTCACTTATCTGTCAAATATAAATCAAGTTTTGTTTTTTCAGGTGAGGGACAGGGAAAGGCTTATGAAAGCAGCTAATATAGCAAGCGAAGTGCATACTGAATTGGCTTAAGTTACACACATGGGTTAGGTTATTTATGCATCAAGCCAAATTACCCATTTCTGATGATCTCCCAGTCTCTCTCCTTCACCTGTCAAATGCTTACTTTGTCAAGAACTAATTTTTCTTCCTAACTGGCCCATCAAACTGCTTTCTTCTCAGTATCTGTGCTGAGAACTATGGTGACATCTGCCAGAGCATCTGCAATATTTGGCAGGGAAAGAACAAGAGCAAGAGAGAAAAGGAGAGAGGAAGTGAGGGAGAGAGATAGACCAAGAGAATACAAGAGCAAGCATACACTGAGTAAATCCCTGACCCATGAATGAATGAATGGATGAACAACCACTGACCTTCTCAGCCATTTATTGCCCATGTTGGGTTCAGCTAGCCTTTCCATGTCTGCTCCACTTGCAGGATGTGAAGTTTCTGTCCATTCCATCCACTAGTTATCAGGTACAGTAGAAGAATGGGTGAGCTCTAAGGCAAGCAGATGAACACTACTATACACCTTCTCAGTAGAACTTACCATCTAGCTCTTTGGTTTGGGGGGAAATAAAGCTAACACTGCTATTCTTTTGATAGACAAAAGGAAGAAGGACTTGGGAGTAAAGGACATCATTTCCCGGGTGCAAGGTGGAAGTCCTGGCTGGGGTACTGGCTTGACACACAACAGCAGTGCCATTACATACCGGTCCTGGGGGAGATCATTAAAGTATAACCCTGTTGTTATCGATTTTGAGGTAAGTCTTTTCGCAGTTGAAGAAACCCTACGTCCATAAGAAATGAAAGTGAAGCCGAGCAGATCATTTCATATTTCTTATTATGAGCCCATCAAAGAACAAGATTAAATGTAACGGCACACTGAACTGGTGCCCTTGCCCAAACCTGCCTAGAGAGAAGATGTGACTTTAATCCAGAGCCACTGGACAGATGGGGTCAGAAACTTACGTCTATTCAGGGTCTGGTTGACCATAGCTAGCCCAGACCCTTTGCAGGGTTAGACATGAAACAGCGACTTACATTTTTGCATGAACTAATTGAAAGATCTCATCTGGTAAATTAGGAGGTTATAACTTCTTTAAAAAGCTGTAGTTTATGAACAGCAATACAATTCACAAGTTAAATAACACTGTAATGGAATGATTTGATATAGTTTTAAACAGAAGAAAAGAGAAAAAATTCCAAAAGGTAGCACCAGAGTAAATGTGAAAAAAAAATCACTTTTTCTAAGTGTGTCAATGTGATAAAGTACTCAGTGGCTAGTCAAGTTTAATTCCTATGGTGATCATTGTCAACAAAATGCAAAAGAACGCCAGACTCTCACAATTGCTCCCCCAAAGGAAGAACACTCTTGGATTCTATTGCAATCCAAGAGTGGTTCTTGCTCCTTCAATCCACACATCCACCATGAAAATTAGATAAAGGTGTGCTTTGTATCCTTTGTCATCATCCATGTGTCTTTCTTACCACTAGTATTACCCTCTCTTGAGCCCCGTTAAAGGTATTTGTACTTTACCACATTCGCAGCTAGTTACATATACATATATCTATATTATTGTCTAGGATCTGCCTAGGAGGGAGCACATGCTTTCTGGAACAGGTCACCTCTCTTAATATTACAATTTCCATATGCATCTATCTCCCAGCAAAGTTAATTTTTTTAACAGCTGAGTAATATTCCATTGTGCAGAGTACCATGTTTTATTTGAAGGGGCAGGCAATAAATACTGAACAGATTAGGAAGCAAGCCCAAAGACACTAAATGAATTGCGTAGGGCTAGATAGTGTCCAGGAGACAGTGCCTAGATTTCAGGCCCAAGGACCATGTGTTCTGTTCTTATTTGCCTCTGCCCTAGCACCTTCCTTTAAACTGATTCTTAGCCACGGGGTAGGGTGGTTTCATGGCCCAGGGGAAATAGGGAGATGTGCCAGGTCTGTGGAATTTAGAGAAATAAGCCACAGACCCCACTGAGCAATCCACATGGCACACGCCTCCCCATGTCCCTGCTAGGTAAGAATCATCTGACCTGACATGTCAACAAAGTTGAAAAAACCTGGCTTTGTCCCTAACCTCACAAACGGGATTATTCAAGCTGTCAAACTACATTTGTTAATGGACAAGATAGTCCTTTAAAAACAGCTGTTTTTTTGAAACTTAAAAAAAAACTATTATTGCTGTCCTATTGTCACTATACCTGTGCCTATTTTTATATGTATGTAAGCATAGATATATTATATATTTAAATCAATAGATATTTCTAAAACATCTAAACCTAAAACTCTATTTTAACACCCTGCTTTCTATGAAGAAAAAAGGTCAGATGGATTAACCTTGATTTTATTTCTTCTCCAATAAGTAAGGGACCACTTTCACGCACCTGTAATTCACATAGGGTCTGAAAATTGCTATCATTCAACCTATTAGTGATTTGGGCAAAAACTGTAAAATTGGTATCAGGAGAATACACATGCACACCCGAATGCACACACACACACATACACACACACACACACACACACACACACACACACACACACACACTTTCGTAGTCAAGATGGGAACTTCATGTTTGCTCTGAGTAAAAGTATGAAGGGGAAGGCAGGGTCAAGATTTGAAGACTGAAACTCTCTTTGGAACAAATAGCTTGAGGTTTTTGGAGGTGAGAAGAGGAGGAGTTTGGATCATGGTTTATTCACCCTTTCTGGATGAAACCTCAGTCAATTCCTTCACCTTCATCCCACCATGCATAACATAACAAAAAATGATAGGTTATAAGGTTAGAGAGGGTATACTCAGGAAGTCTTAGATGAGGACACAGATCCACAGCGCTAAGGGACAAGCATAGAAGCCTGTAGAAAGCAAAAGACAGCTGTTTCCCATGAACTCTTTAACATCCCCATGGCTTCACAACTTTCATCACCCTCTGAGAGGTGTATCCCTCTGAGGGATCAATACACTGAATCATGAAGCCAGTTTTATGCATTAAAAGGAGAATGGAGAGAGGGAGAGGGAGAGAGAGAGAGAGAGAGAGAGAGAGAGAGAGAGAGAGAGAGAGAACAGATAAGCATGCTAGTTAGGAATTCGTTAAGATCCAAAGTAGAAATGATGTCAGCAGTAAGTATTTATAGCAGTTAGTTAGGTTGAGTAAATCCACAGGTCATGTTGGTTTGTTTTGTGTTACAGACCTTGTATTAGGTAAGTATTAGTTATACATATACAAGCTGCTTCAGTCATTGCCTGACTCTGTTGACTTATCTATAAATGACATACGATCATTACCAGGACATTTTAAGCTCTAAAATTCTAAGATCCTATTTTCTCTATCCCCTGTCTTCCTAAAAACAGCCAGTCTTCCCGAGGAGCACTTCCAGAAGGTCATGAGGGCAGAGGAGGGATTTGAGTTGAGTCTGCTTCTAGGTTAAGGGGAAGCTGCCCTGTGGGTGGCCTTACCTGGAAGTAAGAGTTTTCTATAATCAGGACCTGGGCAGCCAAATCCATACTCATGTCCTAACAATGGGCCCAGTTTCCTGATCTTCCAGTAAGTGATGGCTTTTGGCCTAGGCTCCAGCCAATCCTTGTTTCCCATGTCCGAAGGCCTCTAAAATGGCCTCTGATCACTCACCAGTGTCTGTTTGCTATGAGTCTTTCTGTCCACATTTCCAGGAACCTGTCAAAGTTCTGTGAAGTGCCTGCCCTTGACTTCTGTTACCCACAATGGCTCTATCGGACGTAGGCAAATTGCTTCTCCTTTGGACCCTCAGGTTTCTCCCCTATAAAATGAGAGCTCTACTGAGAACATTTATTGTATGATTTTCTCCAAATGCAGAGCATTGCAAAGGGTGCTAAAGATAACCAGAAGTAATGTGACCGGAAGAGCATGGACGGTCTGTCTGTCTGTCCGTCTCCCTCTCCCTCTCCCTCTCCCTCTCCCTCTCCCTTTCCCTCTCATCTTCTCTCTCTCCCTCTCCCTCTTTCCCTTCCTCCCCCCCTCTGTGTTATACTCATCCTTGAAAAATGTGTTTGGAGGTCAAAGGTCAATGCCAAGTGTCTGTCTCTCTCTCTCTCTCTCTCTCTCTCTCTCTCTCTCTCTTTGAGGAAGGGTCTATCACAGAACTTGGCTCTTTGTGATGACTGACCAGCAAGTCCCCAGGATAACCTTGTCACTGCAGAGGTTACAGGAGCTGGCTGCTTGCCTGGCTTTCTGCATGGGTGTTAGGGATTCAAACCCGGGTCTTCATGCTTACTCAGCCATCTTCCCAGCACTCTTCCCTTTTTTTGCTAATAGCATGTCTAATGAGAATGGTGTGTTGTATATTATTCTGTCTCTGTTACCTCACACTCACAGCTAAACAGCAAGCCGCATTCACTTCACTTTTTTCTAAGTGATGAGGCTTTGCCACATGTCATCTCCTGGGATCCTCACAGTAAAATCAGAAGGTGGGGTGATGGTTTCCATTTTTAGATAGAGAAGGGAGATGCATAGGTGCTGTGACAAAGATCCCACACACTGAGGCAGGAGAATGATAGTCTTCTTTCTTCTGTTCCTACTGGTTCTCAGCCCAAGGTAGCTTTGTCCCCAGGGCATTTATTAACAATGGCATGGGACAGCTTTGGTTTTGAGCGTAAGAGTGTCACTGGGATTTAGTGTGCAGAATCCAGTGCTGCTGCTACACAGCCCATCACACACACTGCACCATGCTCCTGTCAGCACACCATTCATTTCAGTCAACAGTATGCAGGCTGGAAAACCCTGGTTATATCACATGTAAATGACCCCCCTCCACCCACATATCACTGCGCTTACATCCTTAAGGGAACTGCCTCCAAAGGCAATGGAACTGCCTTAATCAGGGCCTGTGTTAAAGGATAACAGACAAAACCAGAAAACTTGCCTGAATATATAGAGATCAACCTATTAGATGTTTCTGGCTTCCTCCAGTTCTGCAGGCAACAAGCGGTTGACCAGAGTAGCTTCTAGGTTGCTCTTCTTACTAGGGAGTTAAGAGAGCATCAATTTCAGAGGTATTGGAAACCATGTTCAAACTAGCTCTTGCGCTTAACACTGATGTGGTTCTGAGTTAGTCATATGGATACTCTAAGCCTCGCAGTTCTTCGTCTATGAGTGGGATACTTAGGGCTCATTCACAGAATGGCTGTGAGGATCCTGAAGGACAAAGGAAACCTCCGCATCTGCTCTCGGCAGCAGGCCTTTCAGGAGCTTCACAGCTGGTTGCTGAGCTATGAGAAGGAGGGCAGAGCCAAAGGGGGAAATTGTGCTCCTCTTGTACTTACAGATGCAGCCCATCTATCAGCTACTGCGGCACACAAACCTGGGGCCTCTGGAGGCTAAACGTCAGAACCTGCGCAGGGCTTTGGACCAGTACCTGACGGAATTTAATGCCTGTCGCTGCGGACCCTGCTTCAACAATGGGGAACCCATACTCGAGGGCACCACCTGCCGGTGTCAGTGTAGCATGGGCCGACAGGGCCCTGCCTGTGAGCGCAGGGTGATAGAGGAGATGGAGGTGATGGAGGGTAAGACTCATGCAGCCCGTTATGCCCTAGCCTGACATGGATACCAGGGGCCAGTACACAGAAAGAAACTTTGCGATTTCTAACCTCTATTTCTGGGTGCTCTCAATGACTGCTCTAGAAATCCACAGCCAAGGGTTTTATAGTTCATGTCACACGCTTGGTTGTTCTTCCATTTTCTTTCTGCTATCAAGACCCTTCATTGTCCAGGTCTGCTGTTAGGCTGAAATGCACTCCACAGGGAAGAGCCTCTGGAGCCTTTAGGCAGGCTGTGCCCCACACTCCTCTTGGCTTCTAGTGGTTGTCAACAGATCTTGGAGTTGCTTGGCTTATAGACATATCATTCTAATCTCTGCCTCCACAGTAGTATGACTCCCCTCCCCTCTTTCTCTCTGCTATCCTCTCTTTGAGTGAACACAGGTCATTGGTTTAGGTCCCAGCCAAATGCATGTGGCTTTATCTTACTGTGGTTTCACAGGAAAGACCAAACTTTCAAATAAGGTTCTGGTCACAGGTAATGGGAGCTGGGAGCTGAAGGTGTCCTTTGGAGGGATGCAGTGGATGCCATTAGACAGGGAGTTACTACTAAAAACAGTGAGAGCAAAGAAGATCCAAGAGTGTATAGTTTTAACCAGCACTGTGGAAGAAATTTAATAAGAGAAATAGTGACTTTCTTCCTTTAGGACGAACTGGGGGACCCTGGATGTGAATCCCAGATATTACACGAACCCACTCTGGGGATACTGGTTAAGCATTTCTTTGGGGGGGTTCAACTAGTTCCATTTAAGTTTCTCTCTCATACACACATTCCCTCCCTCCTTCCCTCCCTCCCTCCCTCCCTCCCTCCCTCCCTCCCTTCCTCCTTCTCTCCTTCCCTCCCTCCCCCTCCCTTCCCTCTATTCACCCCTCCCTCCCTCCACACACCCTTCCCTTCTTCCTTTCCTCCCTCCCTCCCTCTTAGGGCTTTATGCATCCTGGACAACTACTCAATAACAGATTTACACTCCAGCTCTCTCTTTACTTTTTATTTGAGACAGACATTCACTAAGTTGCCTAGGCAGGCCTTAAACCTGGGACTTCCCGTCTCAGCTTCTCAAAGAAGGCTGAATTACAGGCCTGAGCTGCCAGGCCTGGCAAGCTCCCATTGTATCAATGCACATCCCCATACCTAAGCTTTCAGCTTACAAGACAGGCAAAGCTACTTTGATATGACACACAGGATGAAGGCAGAGTGTATGGGTTGTAAAATCAATGTGTAAACCAGTTTCATTTGGCTATTGTACAGAAGAACATGTACATAGAACAAGGGAAGTCTGGATAGAGAAATCAAAGGTACTGTGTCCATAACAACCTCCTGGGGAAGCACAGAGTGGGCGAGTAGGAGCAACTGGCTAGACAGCCATCTGTAGAAAATAAATAAAGCATGCAGCCCTCTGACTCAGTGGGAGCCTGACACAGCTGTCTCCAGAGTAAAGGACTAGGTTAACGGAATTAAAGAGCTAGATCGTCATTCTTCTGACATGCCAGGAGCTTCGTTCCTATGTGCCTTGACAGATGTTGTTGAATCAAAGTTGGGACACTGTAAGAGGAAGAGTGGGAAAGAGTGGACGTTATTGGCATTAAGAACACACAGGAAGGACAAGATTCCTGGGAACTGTCTTGCTTTGCATGGTCTTTGAGATCAAAGTTTAAGATTAATAGAGCAGAGGATGTTGGCTTAATGAGGAAGGACTTTCTCTCAGATCCGCTCTGACATGTATGGAGGGAAGCTGATGAGCCCATAGGAAGTCACAGTGGGATGGGAAGATTTCCTCAAGGAGGCTCCCACCGAAGAATCTCTGTGCCTCAGATTTGGACTAGGAAAGGACAACATAATGAAGACTTGTTAGTCTGAAGCTGAAAATAATCTAGCTTGGCTAGGAGGAACCCCAGACAGCAATTTCCTTAGTATTCAGGGGTGATCTCCTCGTTGATCTGGTTTTGAGATGATAGGGGGTTATTATTCCCTCACTGAGAGAGTATCTCCAGGCAGGAGGCAGAGCAGCACAGCTCTGAGGTCAAACATGCCTTTGAATCCCAGTGTCTCTGATTCTCATGTAAGCACTTGCTGCAAAATGAAATTATAGTAGTGTACTCCTCACAGGCTGGGTTGAGCATTAAACCAGCTAAGTAAGGCGCGTGCCAGATTCCATGCCACCAAGCAGAAGGAAGAGGCTATTGCTTGCCCGATGCACAATAGACAGGCTGTACCTGGGTTGGTCACTTCTCTGAAGTTTCCCTCTGCTCAAGAATGGACAGTTTAAGTCCCAGACTGCTATCTGCTATCCAGAGGAGAAATTTTGAGAGATGTGGGAAGGTGAGGGAAAGCCCACATTTGAGAACTGCAGATACAGAGAATAAAAACTACATCACCAACCACCAGGTCCTAGGCTGTTGCACTGTCTTCTCCTGGGAGCTGGAGAAGCCACTGCCTGACTATTTGGGAATTGGTGAATTAGAGCATGGGGTGGGGAGGGAAAGATACTCTGGGCCAAGATAACCCAGCTCCAGAGCTCAGGGACCCTCCTGGTTCTCCAGTAGGGTATGTATTAGGTTGCAGGCCCCTCAGCCAGGCAATTTTCCCCCAAAGACCAAAGGCTACTTGCCAGAAATAATGGTTCTTGATTCCAATCCAGCATCATAGCAGCACATCCTTGTATGTGAGCTTAATTATTCCCACAGAGCCTTATGGGATACATGTTCTTGTTAATATCATTGTACAGATGAGGAGCCTGGGGCAGGAGCAATGTTAGATAATTTGTCAAAGGCCATGTGGCTAGAGAATGGAGGAGCAGGGAGCTGGGCCCAGGAAGTCTGATGCCAGGGCCCAAGGCCTTGACCTAACTGTAGCTACTGAGTCTGTCCCACGTTAGACTGTTTTGAATGAGCAGAGAGACTCTGAGGCAATCTCAGTAGCAATCACTTACAGGAGTGGGGAGCGGATTTGGGCTAACCACTTCATGACTTCAGTCAGGTCTGACTTCGAGACACAGGTATGATCCTTGGCTTGGCCATTCTAATTATTCCCTTTCTAGGGCCTGGTCCACACAGCAAACAGATAGAGAGAAGAGGGGTCACCTAGACAATCCTCACACAGTGTGGAGGCCAGACTCTGTGAGAGTCATGCTGGGCCATAGGCATATACTATGGGCTGTGGGAGAGGAGCAAGATACCCGTGATCTGGGTGAGAGTGGGGGACTAGGAGCTGTATTCAAAGTCTCAATACTGCATTCATTTCTTGGAACATTCAGCTAACCTCATGACCACCTTCCTGAACGTTCAGACTGACAGAGATTAAGCTGGCAAGGCAGAGAAATCTGTCAGCTTCCACTGAAACCCATTAGGATCCCTGGGAGTTTTCCTAGCAAGCCTTTGCCAACAGGGACAGAGTCACGGAGGTGGGAGAAATAGAGACTAAGAATCCAGCTGTGGCTGCCCCATCAGGGAGTATAATTACAGTGCTGGAAGGGACTTGGAGATAATCTAATCCAATGATGTTCACAGTGAGATCTGAGGAGCCCTAGGGTACGAAGACCTGCCCCCAGGGGAGGAGGGTGAGCCTGGTAGTCACCCTAGCTTCAGTGGAATTGCTCTGCTTTCATCTGAATTAGATGTGGGGTTCAAGGAAGGTTTAATTAGGAAAAGGAAACGGTGATAGAAAGTGATGAACAGCCCCCATTGGATTAGTTCATGCTTCTCATAGAGCCAAACCTTAACTTTCCTGGGATGGGGGACCTGGAGAGGCACAGCCAGAGGAGTGAGCCAGCAGCCCTGGGTGGGGTTCCGTGTGCTCGGTTTCTAGACTCCACACTCAGTGCAAGCATTGTGGAAGTTCTGTACAATCTATCATACCCCAGGATCCACCATCAGGCTCTGAAGAGTTTGGATTAGAAACTTACAAACAGAACCTCAGCAATCTACTACAGCGATTTCTAACTAGACCTCTGCCTTGGATATGCAGGATGGTCATGGTTCTATTCCTTACACCCTCCGATGACTTGGAATCACTCTCCCAGAGGAGTACGCTTCCTGCCTTGCTCTGCGGTCCATCTTCTATGCAACCATGGATTCCAATTGCATTTGATGGACTCCCAAGTGGCTTATTTCTACTCTGTCCAGAGTTTCAAATTAACCGAACCTGCAAGCACATAGAGGTCTTGGTTTGCTACCCAGGGCATTTCCCCAAGGAAGGACTATAGACCATTCCGGAGCAACAAGGTGGCCTCTGGCCCTACGTCTCCAGACAGCTGCTTCTCCTACACTAACCTCCTCCTCCCCTGGCATGTTTTCCTACAGGAGCCAAAGCTGATGGCCGCTGGAGCTGCTGGAGTTCCTGGTCAGAGTGCAGAGGAGGTTCCCAGGAGATGAGGAGACAGTGCAATAACCCAGCACCCCAGAATGGAGGCGCCCCATGCCGAGGGAAGAGCCTGCAGACCAGGGCCTGCTGAATACATCTGGATGCAAACTGGGAAGGAGGCTGTAGATGCTGCTACCTGGCCCAGCTGCTGCTTAGGACTGATTGCTGCTCTGAGTAAATGCAAACCCACAAAGGCTATTCTCTTCATACATATTTTTTTCTAGTAACAACCTCATACTACTCAGCCTCTATCAATAACCTGGCTCCAAAGCTGCCTCCTTGTTCCAGGGAGTTGTTACCTGGAACACCTTTACCTCCCAGAACCACCTTTCTATCTTCTTCTATTCAGGGATGCTTAACAATAAACTGGCTGTGGTTTAGATACATCAGAGAACATTCCTCACAATTCTGGAGGCATAAACTGAGAGATGAAGGTTCCAGCGGGTCTAGGGTCTTGAGAGGCTGTGTTCCATTTTATATATGTCCCTTTGTTGTGTTGTCACATGGCAGAGGGGCAGGGAGCCTCTAGGGCCTCTTTAGTAAAGATACTAGTCCTACTCATGAGAACTTTGCCTTTATGACTTTGTCATCTCTCCAAGTCCAGCCTCTTCTTTGCACACTGGGTATAGGACTTCCATGTGGAGAACTTAGAGAGACCCCAACATTCAGACCTCAGAATGTCTCCTGTGACTCTCTCCTGGTAAGCCATCAAATTTGAAGATGGAAAGTGGGCTGGTTTTATTCAGCACGGTATCTTCAGATGCCAAAGCTGCGCCTTGCAGACTGCAGGGGATCTCATCAGCAATGGTTGCTGGACAAGTAGACAGACCAAGAGTCAGTTCACAGGTGAGGTCTGCACTGGTCAGCCTTGAATAGCTGTGGGTGGACTTGGAAGGGTCAATCAGTAAAGATCAATATCCATTCCCTGACCATCCAGAGAAGAGCCAGTCACACCAGCCAGCCTAGTGTTCCTACATACTCTAAACCATGTATATGTTCAGCACAGTTGACAAGTGACTTAATCGGGTTTCTATTGCTATGAGAAAACATCACGAGCAAAAGCAACTTGTGGCAAAAGGGGTGAGTTCAGCTTGCATGCCCCACTCACAGTCTACCATGAAGGGAAGTCAGAGCAGGAACTAAAGACAGGAATCTGGAGGCAGAAACTGAAGCAGAGACCATGGAGGGGTGATGCTTACCGACTTCCTCTTCATGTTTTTCTCAGCCTACTCTCTTGTATCATCTGGTATTACCTGCCCAGGGATGGCAACACCCAGAGTGACCTGGGCCCTCTCACGTCAATCACTAATTTTTAAAAAACTGCACTACAGACTTGCTCAGAGGCCAGTCTAGTGGGCTTTTTTCCTTAACTGAAGTTTCCTCTTCCAAAATGTGTTAAGCTGACATAGCACTAGCCACATCAACATCCCAGGTTCCCAGGTTTGCCCCTGGCTTCTCTTTGATGTTGGTAGAATTTGTAGATATGAAGCCTTCAGAAACAGATGGCCAACTGTATACACGAAAAAGAGGAGACTCTTGGGCACTGGGAATAAATTATTAACATCAACATATGGAGCATCCAAGTGACTGCTGAGGAAGAACAAGTCGGAGACTGCAGTCTCCACACGTCATGTATACATCAGAGGCAGCAAGCACGGCGTCTATCTGGACCCGGATGGACTTTTAAACAGATCAACAGGGAGGAAACTTTTGAAAAAGAAATCCAGCCTGATACAAAGTTTGACAGTGAGAAAAAACATGGGGAGGGGAACTTGCGGGTGTTTATGTGTTATACATAGGGACTGAGAAAAACATCAAAAACAAAGAAAGTCAGATGGATGAGACCCATCCCAGTGCCTGTCACATAGCAAATTATTGGCATCGTCATTGTTATTCCCATTGTTAAAACGTGGTTCAGAGGTTTATCTAAATAAACTTGGCTCTCTTCTTGCTTTCTATCTTGTGAGTGTAGCTTTTCCCCTTTAAATTAGTTTATAATCATAATTTGCGTACATTCATGATTTGGTGATTATTAACAGCTGCTTGCTAGCAAGTGACTGGAGGCAGGGTAAGAGAGGCCAAGTGGGCAATTGATGAGGACTTTCTATCTTGCTCTCAACAGTGGTTCTGTAGTTCCCAACCTTGGCTGCCCGTGAGAATAACCTGGGGAGATTTCACAAACCTCCTGTCCAGAAGCTGCATCACAGACCAATTAAATCTGAACCACTGGGGGCTGGAGTCAGCCATCAGCAGTCTCCAGTGCTCCCTTGGCAATTCCAAACACAGGCAAGGTATAGCACCACGGAGAGTGAAAGAGTCGTTATATGCCCACGAGGAATGGGGTGCATGGCACACAGAGGGCCGGGGGCAGACCACTTGATCTTTACTATTTTATGTAGGCTTACCGGGGACCTCTAAAGGCTTGTTTTGTGAGGTCTACTCCACAGTTAAGGAAACTAAGTCTCATGAGTCAGAGCAGTGGACCAGTTATTTCACACACAACTTCAAGCACTTTTTCCCCACCCCATCACATCACCCCCTCCCCCAGCTCTGTTGTGTCTGTCTGTGGAGGGTTCTGCATGGTAGTTTGTGGTGCTCAAGGCAGGGAGGAGATGATGACGTAGGGATGGGAAATTTGGAGGAAGAGGCAAAAGCAGCGATTCTCAACTCATGGGCTGCAACTCCTTTAGGGGGCTGAATATCAGCATATCATATTTACTTTATGATTCATAACAGTAGCAAAATCAGTTATGACTTAGCACCAAAACGATTTTATGGTCGGGGGTCACCACAACATGAGGGATTGTATTAGAGGGTCACAGCACATGGAAGGTTGAGAACCACTGGACTAAAGGATCACACATGAGCCGAGCCACCAGCAAAACACAGGACTCTCCCCTGCAGCATTAGCCATTAAAATAAAGCAGCCGTGGCAACCTTACACTCCGTCAGTCTCTCCTTCCTCAGCAGTGGTCCACCCCCACAAAACATAAACCTCTCCCAGTACATTTCCCCCTAGGTCCTTTAAGGAGATCTATCCTCTCAGGTTTTATAAAGAGTGGGGTGTAAACACATGGCTTAAAGATATACTCTTCAGCTTGACAGTGTGTCTTTTGAAAAGTAAATTAACTAACGATAGGGAAAAAGGCAGTAAGGAGAGAGGCTTTCTTCTTTTCATTCTCTGTGAAGAAGATCTAAAGAGTCCCACATTCAATGGATCTCTCCTGAGTGGTATGCCTTTAGGAGGAGAAAATGGACACAGAGAAAGGGCAGGCTTCAGAAGCCACACTGCAGAAATGAGGGATGCCTCAGCAAAGCCTGCGTGCCTTACAGGGAAGGGAAGATGATGCCAGAAAAACAGACCAGCATTTCACTGCCTGGAAGGCAGGCTCCACTGCTACCCATCCACTTCAGAAATAAGCAGGCTAGGCTGGGAATGGAACTCAGTTAATAGAATGCTAGGCTAGCACTTATGAAGTGTTGCATTCAATCTTTAATACTACAGGTCTTAGCGTTCTGCTGCTGTGAAGAGACACCATGACCATGGCAACTCTTATTAAAAAAAAAAAGGGTCACTTACAGTTTCAAGGGTTTAGTTCCTTATTGCCATGGTGGGGAGCATGGAAGCATGCTAGCATGGTAGCTGAAAGTTCTATATCCAGATCAACAGGAAGAAGGAAGAAAGAGTCACTGGCCCTGGCTTGGGCTTCTGAAACTCCAAAGCCCACTCACAGTGACACACTTCCTCCAACAAGGACACACCTACCCCAAGAAGGCCACGCCCACTCCAACAAGGCCATACCTCCTAGTCCTTTCAAATAGTGCCAAAGAACAGAAGCCCAGCTATATAGCAAGTTCAAGACCATCCTAGGCTAGGAGCAGTTATTATCTCAAAGAAAATCTATTTTTTATAGTAATACAAATTTATTGTCTTAATATTGTGAAGGCCTGAAGCTTGAAAGAGGTCTCTCTGATATAAATAAAGTTAATTGGCTATTATAGCTGTAATTACAATGGCTAAATTGCAGAACACACCTAGGTTTCTAAAAGCAGAGGAATGCATGAAGAAAATGATCTTCCAAGCCCTAAAGAATGAAATAATGTTGTTTGAAAAAAACATTTAAAAAGGTGGATGCAGCAGCAGATAATCATATTAAGTAAATTTAGTCAGTCTCAAAAAAAATTTTCTCTCGATGATGGCTACTGGAGTTTACATAGATACATAAGATGATGTTTGTATATATGACACAATCATAGAAGGGAGGGCCTGATATGCTTTAAGATCAAGAATTGACAAATGGGACTTCATAAAATTGCAAAGTTTCTGTAAGGCAAATGGCACTGTCAATAGGACAAAACAACAACCAACAAATTGGGAAAAGATCTTTACCAATCCTACATCTGATAGAGGGCTAATATCCAATATATACAAAGAACTCAAGAAATTAGACTTCAGAGAACCAAATAACCCTATTAAAAAAGGGGTATAGAGCTTAACAAAGAATTTTCAACTGAGGAAACTCGAATGGCTGAGAAGCACCTAAAGAAACGTTCAGTATCCTTAGTTGTCAGGGAAATGCAAATCAAAACAACCCTGAGATTCCATCTCACACCAGTCAGAATGGCTAAGATTAAAAACTCAGGTGATAGTAGATGCTGGTGAGGGTGTGGAGAAAGAGGAACACTCCTCCATTGTTGGTGGGACTTCAAGATGGTGCAACCACTTTGGAAATCAGTCTGGCGGTTCCTCAGAAAATTGGACATAGCATTATCTGAGGATCCAGCTATACACTCCTGGCATATACCCAGAAGATGCTCTAACATATAACAAGCACTTATGCTCAACTATGTTCATAGCAGCCTTATTTATAATAGCCAGAAGCTAGAAAGAACCCAGATGTTCTTCAACTGAGGAATGGAAACAAAAAATGTGGTACATTTACACAATGGAGTATTACTCAGCTATTAAAAACAATGAATTCGCGAGGTTCCTAGGTAAATGGATGGAACTAGAAAATATCATCCTGAGTGAGGTAAGCCAATCACAAAAGAAGACACATAGTATTCACTCACTGATTATTGGATATTAGCCCAGAACCTTGAAATACCCAAAATTCAACTCACAGGCCACATGAAGCTCATGAAGAAGGAAGATCAAGTGGGGGTGCTTTGGTCCTTCTTAGAAGGAGCAACAAAATACTCAAGGGAGCAAATATGGAGACAAAGTGAGGGACAGAAACTGAAGAAGGGGTTGTCTGAAGACCATTCCACCTGAATATCCATCCCATGTGCAGTCACCAAAGGTAGATGCTGATGTGGAAGTCAGGAAGTGCATGCTGATAAGAGCCTGATATAGATGTCTCCTAAGAGGTCTGCAAGAGTCTGACATATTCAGAGGCAGATGCTCACAGCTAACCATTGAACTGATCATGGGGTTCCAAATGGAGGAGTTAGAGTGAAGACTGTTGGAGCTGAAAGTGTTTGCAGCCCCATGAGGAGAGCAACAATACCAACCAACCACAGCTCCCAGGGTCTAAACAACCAGCCTGGGAGCACTTAGGGAGGGATCCATGGCTTCAGCTGTATATGTAAGGGTGGAGGGCCCTGCTGGGCATAGGTGGGAGAAGAGATCCTTGGTCTCATGAATGCTGGATGCCCCAGGGGGTGGGAATTTGAGGGGGGGTGGGAGGTGGGGGGTAGGTAGGGGTATACCCGCAGAGAAGCAGAGGGGGGGGGGGGGGGATGGGGGTTCCGGGGTGGGGGGGGGATGGGGTAAGGGGATAACATATGAAATGTAAATAAAACATCCAATAAAAAAGAAAAATAAATAAATAAATAAATAAATAAATATTCATTCTTAGTGGAAAAAAAAAAAAAGAAAGAAGGGAGGGCCTGGAGTGGTTAGGTGTACTTATCGCTTGCTCTTCCAGAGCATCCAGGTTTGGTTCCCAGCATCCACGAAAGGTAACCCACAACTGCCCACAACTCCACCTACGGAGGGCTAATGCTCTTCTCTGTCTTCTGTGAGCCCTGCATGCACGTGCCGATCATACACACAAATATTAAAAATTCATTTTCTTAAATGGATAAGTAAAATTGTTCAGGAGACAATGAGGACCAATAGTTGAGGAGAGGGTAAGGAAGGGCAGGGAGTGTGCGGGAGCATGCTTAATATAGGACACATGTACGAAAATGTTTTCTAATGCAGTGCCACATACCTCGAACATTTTAAGAAAAGAAAAAGGATAATCAACACACTCACACATAAACATATAGATAAAACCACCAGGGTTATGTTTCATCTATAAGACTCAGAAGACAATTGATTCTGGGCATTCTCCAGCTTTGGAGGTAACTACATTCCTTGGCTAGTGGTCCTTTCCCCCAGAAAAAACTAACAACAATGACAACAACAACAGTAATAAAAAGAAATTTTAAAAAAGAGAGAGAAATAGAGAAAAAGAAGATGTCAGGCTAACTTCCAGTGACACCTGACACACAGGCCACTGCTGGATGTTGGAGGTGCTGAGCCACAAACCCATCAGTACAAGGACTTGGGGTCTGACAGAGGAAACCCATAGACAATTGCAATGGGTTCCTAACTGGGAAGAAACCTAGGGTGGCATAAAGAAAGTCTAGTTTAGGAATCAGGGAAGACAGCTGGAAGCTGGACAACCAGCTGAGCCCTGGAAAAAAGTGTAAGTCAGAAAAGCAACACACATATCACAGGAAGGGGATGACACAGAGGCACAATGACTGGGCGAAGTCACAGAACTAGCACTCACAGGTGTTCAATTGGCTCTGGGGTAGCGCATGTTCGTCTCAAGTGGGTGAGTGTGAGCCTCAGGTGTGGTCATGGGCCTTTCTGGGAGTAGCAGGTGCAGCATCTCAGTCTTTGCCAGCTGCCTTTCTGGGGTTTCTGTGTTTCTGTAATTATCATGGCCACATTCATAGCACG